GAGGAAGACCCTCAATGAGATGGACTGACACAGTGGCTGCAACAATGGGCTCAAGCATAACAATCAATGTGAGTGTGGCACAGGACGGGGCAGTGTTTCATTCTGTGGTACATAGGGTCGTTATGAGTTGGAACCAACTAGATGTTACCTAACAACAACAACATAGGTTAAGCTCTGTATTATGTACTTCATGCGTTACCTATTTTAATCCATTATAAATAGTCCTATAAAGTAGGTACTAGCATATTACTCCTATTTTACAGACGAGCAAAAGTAGCCAACTGCCTAAGGTCACACTGCTAGCAAGTGACAAAAATTCAATCTAGGTCTGTCTCACTACAGGGCCCTTGTTTTTAACCATGATGAGACCCAGAAGGGACCCCTGAGATGATCTAGTCCTCATTTTACAGATGAGGACACTTTAACACAAAGAGTTTAAGTGATATATTCAAGGTCATAACCCTGATTACTAGTAGAACCAGAAGGAAACCTCCAGGCTTGGTTTTCTATGCTCCTTTTACTACCCTGTATGGCCTTTTCCTAAAATTTAAAAATACAAATACATTCTGATTTCCTACACAAATAATCATTTCCATAAACTGTCACTCTGACTTGCTGATCCTCAGTGATCCTCCCCAATTTCTTTAAAGCTCCCAAAAGATGCTAACTTCTATGCCAAAGGCTAACTTAGAATGACCAATATTTTTATAATTGAAATAGTGATGTAATTCATAATTTGTTAAGGGTTCGTACTATTAATGGGTCAAAGGTATTTTCCCTTATATTTTAAATATGAATTATGATCAATCTTCAGTACACTTGGTTGAATGCTGGGATCATCTAGGGAGCTTTAAAAAATCCGAGTGATGAACTAAAAGATTGGAATCTCTGGGGGTGGGATCCAGGCATCAGTATTTTTTAAACCTTCCCAAGTGATTCCAACATGCAAACAAATTTAACCAGTGCTATAATTATTATGGGTAACCTGATGGCACAGTGGTTAAACGCTTGGCTGCTAACCGAAAGGTCCATGGTTTCGAACCCACCAGCTGCTCCACAGGAGAGAGATGTGGTAGTCTGCCTGTGTAAAGATTTACAGCCTGGGGAATCCTATGGGGCAGTTCTACCCTGTCCTATAGGGTTACTATGAGTCAGAACTGACTCGACAGCAGTGGGTGGTTGTCGTTAATTATTACTGAAACTTCAAAATAACATCAGAAGATATTAAACCAAAAGAGCTAAACTAATGCACTCTGAAACACTTTATCAACTATATTAAACAACCTTCCTCAAAAAATTATTAGAGCAAAATCTGAGAGATTTCAAAAACATTGTCAAATCATAGAACACCAGCCTCAATTATTTAACCAAATTGCTTTTAGTTGGTGCTACAGAGAAACAATGCAATTCCTTAAACACACACATAAGAATAACCTGAGTTACTAGCCAAAATAGGGTTCACTCACATATGAGCTCATAATCATGGACACTGTTTCCATGCACATAATCAGAAAGCAACAACATAGAATATAATGAACCACACTCATGAATTAAGATACTGATTACAGTCCTTTCTCCAAAGCTAATTCTAAAGGCTTCTTCCTTGATGCACGTCATTATTAAATGAAAACTGTTAGCATTTCACAAGCATGTTTAAACATCACAGGTTGAAGAAGCTAAATGATGCCATTAAGAAATACACACAAGAAAAAGACTTTTGGTAAGGATAAGACATATATAATTTGCAACAAAGTTGTCCTTAGGTGCCGTCGAGTCGGTTCCAAGTCATAGTGACCCTAAGTACAACAGAACAAAACACTGCTGGTCCTGAGCCATCCTCACGATCGTTGTTATGCTGGAGACCATTGTTGCAGCCACTATGTCAATCCATCTCGTCGAGGGTCTTTCTCGTTTTTGCTGATCCTCTGTTTTACCAAGCATGATGTCCTTCTCCAGGGACTGATTCCTCCTGATAACATGTCCAAAGTATGTGAGACAAAGTCTCACCATCCTTGCTTCTAAGGAGCATTCTGGCTGTACTTCTCCCAAGACAGATTTGCTTGCTCTTTTGGCAATCCATGGTATATATTCAATATTCTCCACTAACACCATAATTCAGAGGTGTCTATTCTTCTTTGGTCTTCCTTATACCACTGTCTGGCTTTCGCATGCATATGAAGTGATTGAAAACACCGTAGGTTGGGTCAGGTGCACCTTAGTCTTCAAGGTGACATCTTTGCCTTTTAACACTTTGAAGAGGTCTTTTGCAGTAGACTTGCCCAATTCAATGGATCTTTTGATTTCTTGACTGCTGCTTCCATGGGTGTTGATTGTGGATCCAAGTAAAACGAAATCTGTGACAACTTCAATCTTTTCTCCATTTATCATGATGTTGCTTATTGGTACAGTTGTGAGGATTTTTGTTTTCTTTATGTTGAGGTGTAACACATCAACATTTTGCCTACAGAATCCTTTAATATTGCAACTAGAGGCTTGAATTATTTCTTCAGTTCTTTCAGCTTGAGAAATGCCAGCTGTGTTCTTCCCTTTTGGTTTTCCAACTCCAGGTCTTTGCACATTTCCTTATAATAGTTTACTTTGTCTTCTCGAGTCGTCGTTTGAAATCTTCTGTTCAGCTCTTTTACTTCATCATTTCTTCCTTTCGCTTTAGCTACTCTGTGTTCAAGACCAAGTTTTACAGTCTCTTCTGACATCCGTTTTGGTCTTTTCTTTCTTTTTAATGATCTTTTGCTTTCTCTATGCATGATGTCCCTGATGTCATTCCACAACTCGTCTGGTCTTCAGTCATTAAAGTTAAATGTGTCAAATCTATTCTTGAGATAGTCGCTAAATTCAGGTAGAATATACTCAAGGTCATACTTTGGCTCTCATGGACTTGTCTTAATTTTCTTCAGCTTCATCTTGAACTTGCATTGAACAATTGATGGTTTGTTCCGCAGTCGGCCCCTTCCTAGTCTGTCTTAGTCTGGAAGCTCTGCTGAAACCTGTCTACGGTGGTTGACCCTGCTGGCATTTGAAATACCAGTGGTATAACTTCCAGCATCGTAGCAACACACAATACACCCTAGTAAGCCAAACCGCCAGACAAGTGGTGGTATACACATATAAACCAAACCAAACTCACTGCCGTCAAGTTGATTCTGACTCATAGAGACCCTACGGGACAGACTAGATCTGCCCCATAGAGTTTCCAAGGAGCACCTGGTAGTTTCGAACTGCCAACCTTTTGGTTAGCAGCCGTAGCACTTAACCACTACAGTATATATATATTCAGGTATGTGTGTGCATGCATATATATTCATATATATAAAATTAACCACATAGGGGTCACAGTTACAGATACCTCTTAGACATAACCAAACAACTTGTGAATTTGGTTCTCTGGGATTGAAGGCTTAGGACCATAGTCTCACGGGACAACTCAGTCAACTGGCATAATATAGTTTATAAAGTTTATGGTCTACATCTTAGCTTTGTGAATAGTGTTTGGAGACATAAAAGGTTGTAATCAGCCATCAAAGATACAACTATTGATCTCTACCTATCTGGAGCAAAAGAGAAAGAAGGAAACCAAAGATTCAGAGATGACTTGTCTACAGGGCTAATAGCTTACACGAGCCACTGATTCTACCCTGACTGTTCTAATCAGGGCCTCATTAGATGGATCCTGATAGAATGGGAGAAAAATGTGGAGCAGAACTCAAATTCTTAAAAAGTCCAGAATTACTGGACCATTTGAGACTATAGGACTCCCAGAGACTATTACCCTGAGATACTCTTTAAACCTTGAAACCAAAACTATCCCCTGAGGTTATCTTCCAGCTAAATAACAGAGTGGTTCATAAAATAAAGAATATAACCTGTAGGGGGAGGGGAAAAGATCTTTGTTTTTTAGAGGGTTTTCTCCATACATTTCATTCCATGGTGAACATATAATCCTCTTTGTTAACCTACCTGGTTGTAGTTGAAATGACATAGCAGTGGGGACCACGGGATGGCAGTGGGCACAATTATTTGAAGCAGTTAAAACTGAAAACTTTAAGAATATGGATATCTAACAGAGAGAGAGTTTAAGCCTTAAATTTTTGTTAAAGTTATCTCAGAAATAAAAGGATATTTAAGGTAATGCTACAGTATTTCAATCACAAAAGCTGACAAGATTCCACATTCCATATGCTTTTTTAATAGGTTAAGCTTGAGGCCTAGAGATTGGGAAACCCATTGGGAAAGGAGTGTTTGTTTGCTGCTTGGGGTGAATTTTTAGTTTATTTTTTTCCTTACATCAACAACAATTCGGGTTACCTGCAGCTCTACTTCACTTTGTCTTTACTCTGGACCTACAAAAGTCTCTATCTGGGACATTGCTGGTCTTGTGCCTGAACTAAAGAATCAGTGAACACCACTCTGGCTCTTACAGCTTCTATTCAGAAGTGATACATGCCACTTGATAATCATTTAAAAATAAAGTCATTCAATAAGAAAAAAAAAAAGTCATAGGTTTTGCATTCCATAATGGAAGACAATGTGATGCATTACTTCTGGCATCATATGACCGATCAAAACTGGATTTTAATCACTATGAATAAAGAATTAATAGAATTAACATAAAATTAGTTATCTTCTTAATTGTTCTTTCTAGACGATAAATATTTGCATTTCCTACCTTTTATCAGGGTATAATTAAACCATCTCCTAAATGTATTTTTTTATCTTCCCCAACTCTGTTTTTCTAAGGAAATGGTGTTTTGGCCCTGACCTTGCCTATTTTTTGCCCCAACAATGGAGTAAAACTGGTAAATATCTCTCAGTAATTGCTTAATTAAAATTTGATTCACATAAGAAATACACATTAAAATATTTCTTCACTTTTTCAATAGTTATCTTATGCTCTCATATCAATTTGACAGGATTTTTCTTAATAATTTAAAAAATAATTATTCTGACCCAAGCATAATCCAAAATTAAAAATTGCTACTTACAGGTATCATCCAGTTAGCCAGGTCACCATATCTGGAAACCTGCATTGCTCCTAGCATTGTTAGATCAACATGTCCCCTGAGAAGAGAAAAGGGGAGCTATGAAGCAAATTTTACAAGTTTTATGTATCTTTTGCTGAAAATCATCATTAAAATTAGTAAGTGATTCTATGCCCCCCAAATACATCTGCTTTCCCCTACCCCACAAATGATTTCCAAATAGATCAGCTCTAAGCTCACACTTATTATTAACACATTAAGAGTTCTTTAAAAATTATGCTCTATATTGGATCCAAAACCAAATTAAAAACAGGTGTATATAATGAATTTGTTTCCCTCAGTGGAGGAAGGGATACAAGTTGATTTAAAGGCAAGCTAGAAAGTGAACATACAGTTTGAAGAAAGTGTTTGATCCTCAGAAAGACACTTAGCAATGTTTACTTCAATATAGTTGACACACGCAGATACATACGCCATTTTGGGGGCTGTTTTAATAATAGCAGGCTGGAGACTTCAATTCCCAACACTCAGTTTGAATAATTTCACATACTGTTGCAGCCAAACAGACGCATGATAGTTTTATGGCTGGGGGACGTGCTGTGTTCCAGGGCCTTGCTAACTCACTCAGGGGATGACTCAGCTCATTCCACACCATGTGAAACATGAGGGGCCCAGTTATTACATACCCTCTAATCATTGCAAATGATTCATCGCTGGAGAAATAAGAGGCTCCTGGAAGAACAGTAACTGTTTCCTTGCCTAAACACACACACACACACAAAAGAAAGAGAGGAAAAGAAAACACTATTAGATTTTTAAGAGTATCATAGTAAAGAGAGGTCTGTACCCTCTTCTCTGTTTCTTAAAGAACTAAGTCTTCTTTACCCAAATGCAGTGGCACAGGAAGAATGAAAAGGTACTGGGGACACAGTGGGAACCATCTGATCCCGTGAAGAGATGTCACTGACATTGTTTACAACTGTCCTCACAATGTAATAATAAAAAATGACCAACTTTTGATTTTATTACTGTTTTGAAATTATCTACACAAAATGTCCACCTCTACTGTCTATACCCAGGGGAACACCACCCCTACTCCCTTCACAAGACACTGCTAAAATGTTAATAGGAGTGAGGAAGAAAGGAGTTCCTGGGATGACACCTGTCAGAATCCAGTGCTACTGTAAGCCACTGGGGCAAAAAGATAGCAAAATAAACATGATCATAAGAAGAAATGCAATTTGGAAGGGAATGACACAGGAGATGCCCCCTCAGATATTTTTAAAAATCAGTGAATAGAGGACACGTCTACTTCTAACATAATTAGAACTGAGCCCTCTTCTTTTAATCTTTCTCTCTCTTTTCCCGTTCTCTCCCTCCCTCTTCTCTATCTCTTTCTCTCTCTGCCCCTCACCTTTCTTCCTTTTCCTATAAGACCATATTATAAACCATGGAATTTTGATGAAATCAGGCAAAACATATTAATACTGGTCAATATATTTAGTGTTAACTTCCAAGGCGTCCTCTTACATCTGAGAGTAAAAGTTCAGACCTGGAAAAGACCTTTGAGGGCAACCTGTCCGCACACAACTAGCATCACCTGATGCATATCTGAGCTGCTTCCTTCTTGTGATCTATTTCCTGTTTGTTCAGGAGCTACAAGAGCCTGAAGGCAGCTTCATCTCAGCCAGAAAAATGCTCACGTCACTCTGGCAAAGATAAATCTGAGAACGATCCAAACACTGCCCTAGTGTAATGGGACGAACAAAAAGGAGGGGAAGGAAAGCTGTGATTTCAAGCATGAGACTGGAAGAGGGAAAAGCTCCAGGGTACAACAGGATCGGAGCGGTCCACCCACTCCTAGCTGTGCGACATAGCTATCCCTCAGCTTCTCAAGTCTCCACTCCTAGCTGTGCAACATAACTATCCCCTCAGCTTCTCAAGTCCTTCCTGAAAGCTACCTTGCCCATCAGCATCCCTCCATTTGAGAATGTGTGAAGAAAGAATAAGCCTATCTATATCATGCTGAAATATTTATTCTCCACAGGAGTATGATTATAAATGATGGGAACATTTTCACATCTTTCAAAGTACCATAAAGCTAAATGGCTTTGGAAAATACTTTCCGATATGGTCACTTTCAGACAACACGTAAAATTTGAAGGATTAAATGAGATAATTATGTAAAGTCCTTACTTTAGTGACTGGCACATAGGAAGGGCTTCATAAATGTTAGCTTTAATTGTTGTCATTATTATTATTCCTCTCTCCAAACCTACTTATAAAAGCAACAATGCCAATGCCACTTTAGGGATGAATGCCACAGGATTGACTGATATGCTGGGGTTATGCAGCCAGCACATGAGCTCTAGGTTTTAGGAAAGGCATAACACAACTAAATATCTGCTTAACACAACTTCTTCTATGTCCAGCAAATTCAGATCCTCCAATCCTGCAAAGTGGAGGGTCAAGGAAGAAAAGTTTGTAGGACAAAAAAGAGAGAGAGAAACATAAAAATCACAATTGTTTGTTCTGTAAGTGCTAAATCACAATGCCTTCCAAAGGGAAATCTCCACTAGTTGACGGTACATCATACAAAACCAAAAACCAAACCTGCTGCCATCGAGTCAATTCCAACTCATAGCAACCCTATAGGGCAGAAGAGAACTGTCCCATAGGGTTTCCAAGGAGTAGCTGGTGGATTCAAACTGCCGACCTTTTGGTTAGCAGCCCTGTTCTTAACCACTGCCCCACCAGGCCATTTACCATTTTATAGGAAACTTTGAGATTAATGGATAGAGCTTCTGCTCTCCTCCATGTAATTTATGAAGCAAAATTTTATTCAAGAGCCCAGAAAACAACTCTCATGAAAAAAAGTTATTGCCAGGCCCCTGCTAGTGCATTCTGGTATCTTGTAAATTACATTCTTCTGAAGAAAAGTTAATTTTCAGCATTTTAAAACAATATTGAAGCAAAAATAAACATCCTAAGTTGGAGTTCATGTTTTTCAAATACAATACCCAAATCTGGTCATGAAAAGTCATGTAACTATAATCAATGTCACATAAAGAGGGCTTTCTTATTTGATTATTTGATTGATTTTTGTCTTCTCCAACTTTTCGATGTGTTTTTCTAAACCCTTTCATGATGTTTGGACAAAAGAATTACTAAACTTCATAGTTACCAAGTTCTTGGCTCATGACTTAATAGGGCATTCTCTGGGTATCAAATAAATATCTACTATGTGCTACGTACAAAACACCGTTGGCCTAAACTAGTGGTTTTCAAAAGTTAGCAGCCATCAGAATCACATGGAGGGCTTATAAAAATGCAGTCCCCAGGTGACGCTGATGCTGTGAGTCTAGGGACCACACTTTGAGAACCACTGCTCTCAGCAAAAGGAGCTATCTGGCAAGAGAGATAAATATACACAAATAACTACAAGGGAAAATGTGGTATGTTTTTAGAGAGACATTATACGTGTGGTAGTTTCAGGGGAGGACATGTCTGAGTTACAGAAGGATTTGGAGAAGGCAAATAAGCTGGGACTTGAAGAAGAGGTATGATGCATTTTCAATAGGTAATTCCTGGTGGGGACATGGGGATAAAAGAGGAAGGAGGCAGAATACAAAGCTGGGGGAAAGCACAGTAAGAGCAAAGGCATGGAGAAAGGAAAGTATGTGTCATGATCAGAATACACCTAGTGGTCTAGTGTGGGTAGACAAAGGCATCCTTGTAGGGTTTAGTATACGATAAAGCTGGAAAGGTAGGCGGCAACCACTAGATAGATCTTAAATGCTGTGCTATTTGCACATTCATCTACAGGCCTGTGCCTGTGGTACATACACCTCTAGAGCAGGGTTTCTTGTCCTCAGCCCTACTGACATCTGTGGCTAGATAGATACTTCTTTGTTGTGGGGTGCTGTTCTGGTTATTGTAGGATGTTCAGCAGCATCTCTGGCCTCTATTCACTAAATGCCAGCAGCACTCCCCCAACTGTGACAATCAAAAATGTCTTCAGACATTGCCAAATGTCCCCTACTGGGGTGCAAAATCACTCCCTCTGCCCAGTGACAACCACAGGGCAAGGGCCAGGGATATTTATAAGCCACAAGATTAACATGGTAGTTCTTTCTAAAGCAGTTTAATCAAGGGTAAGTCTTTTAAAGCATTAGTTGTATGATAAAATAAGCAAACAATATTAAGAAATAAAGAATGCAAAATGCATATTAATATGAAAGCTAAAGCAGAGACTTCACAGTTGCATTGAACTACTTCATGTTGAAGCCCAGATCTTCATAGAACCTCTGAAATGTTCTAAGCCCCACCTTCTACACATCTGTAAAAGTCATGTTATCAAGAGGGGTAGCTTAATGTATAAAGAAAAAAGCCCATGGGCCAGGAGCAGAAGACTGTGTGACTTCAGTCTCTAGCAATGTGATCTTGAGTACAGCACTTCACCTTTCTGTGCCTCGGTTTCCCAATCTGTATAATGCGTGTCTTTCAAAGCTGAAATGGTGTGATACTTGTGAAAAAGTATGCCGTATGCCATATAGTGCTATATGAATGGTAATTCTTTTTTATGGAACCATGTGAGACTATTATTTAGAAGAAGAAACCCTTAGAAATAATTCCATTATTTTTTAAAATTTTTAATATACTGATTATACCCAGAAACATAACTCTTGTGTTCATTCAAAGTGACTTGCATACAAATCTTTTCTAATTAACACAAACAATGGACTGATCTTCCAGGTAATTTCCAGGTAATTTTGGGAGTTGAGGAAAGCACCAATTTATATTCTGTATTCTCTGGTTCAAAGTATTTCCCATCTAATATGGAAAGCTCCATAATTAAAAGGGCCGAAAATCACTAAGACTTTGATGAGTTGGGATATTATTAAAGTGATCTGCAACTTTGTCTCCCATAAAAAATGAATTCTTGTTTTACAAATTAGTTTAAGATTATATGCGGCTTTTCAGAGGTTGAAATGTAACACTGGTGGCTTCATTAAGACTGAGCCACTTTTAACTTCAAGGGAATCAGAAATGCCTGTTTAATAGTCACTGAAAAGATTGACTACTTTTCCAAGGAAAGTGGGTTTATGAACTCAAGCTTGAAATCTAGAAAGTGGAGTTATTCATTTTGCAAATAACTCACTAACATCATAAATTAATTAAATCAAGCAGCAAATATTTTCACACATCAACGAACTATTGCTAAAGGGTACAGTACAATTAAATTACAGCCTTGGTTAGATGTTATTGCTTTATCACAGTGGGCCTTTCAGAGTTGAGTTAACTAATTCAACTATTCAACCAGAAGCTGCTTTATTTCCCAAAATCCTAAGTAGCAAACACCAATTCTACTTGGCAGTTGGCCTTTATGTTCAGCTCATATTACTTTTCTTCTGAGATATACACATACTATTTTTAAATTTGAAGAATAATTCTTTTGTGGGGGTAGAGTGAATAGCAGTAAGAGAAAATGGTGCAGAAAATCATGCTAGAACATAAAAATTATCACCTTATGGGCAGCCCCATTCCAAGGAGAATTTACAGCCCAAACGTGGGCAGCATCACTGCCTCAAGCACAGGCAGTGACGATGGCCAGAAGGCCTGGCCTGTTCTTCCTCCTCTCAGCTGCTAATAGATGTGACTCTATGTCCCAGTCAGAAATATGTCTAATAAAAACTAAAGCAGAGGAATGCAGGAACAAGAGAAGACAAGACTAAGTCCACAATTCAAACAAACTCTGCATTGCTTACATCACTGGACTGTACTGAGCGGCAGAGACATACATACTTAAGCATCTTGTACCCTTTGGAGGATGTTCTCCCACTCCAGTGAAGACTAGAGGAGTATAAGTATCACCTATGACAAAAACACCCCAGTGTGTTGGATCTTTTCTTATTCTGCAATACAGATCCACTCTCCACCCTCCTCCATTCTGAGAAGGCTGACCTATTTTGACTTGAGATTGATCAACAGGAGGCACAAAAGGGAGATCTAGCAGTGGAGAAACACGCCACCTGGATTGCTGCAAGTTGGCTGTGTTCCTCTACCAGAGGCCATAGTTCCTGTCAGGTGGCCTCTCCTACAGCTGCCCCTTTAGCCTGCAGGTGATAACAGCTCCCTATGGTATTTCACCATCCCTTCCTGATTGCCCTTAACCCTGTCCACACCCTTGCAAATTAACTGTGATGGTTAAGATTGTATGTCAACTTGGCTAGGCCATGATTCTCACTGTTTCAGCAGTTGTACAATGTTGTGATCACCCCCATGATGGAATCTGCTGAGTGGTACTGGCGGAGGTGGAGCCCATGGCAGCTCACCGCTCCCTCAGTTTCATCTCTCTGCCTTCTGCCAGTTACTTTCTGCCTGCGCACCTTGCCAAGGTTTTTGGCTTGTTCCAGACTCAGCAGCTGCCTCTTGCTGCCTCACCTCTGGTTCTTGGGTCTTGAGCTAGCAGCCTACCTGCTGATCTTGGAATTCGTCGATCTTCACAGCCTGCGAGCAAGAGTCCTGTTCCCTGACCTGCTGATCTTGGGTTCACTAGCCCCTGCAGCTACATCAATCAGGAAAAACCCTGAGGCCTTGTCTGCTGATCCTGGAATTCACTGACCTTCACAGCCTGTGAGCAGGAGTCCCCCTCCGACCTGCCGACCTTGGGTTCACCAGCTTCTGTGGCTCCGTGAATTGGGAGGCCTCTACCCTGATCCACAGACTTGGGATGTCTTAGCCTCTACAGTTGCGTGAGCTGTTTCCTTGATATAAATCTCTCTATACATATACTTATAAGCTTTACTGGTTTTGCTTCTCTAGAGAACCCAGCCTAAAACATTTGGTACCAAGACAGTAGGGTGCTACTACTCTAAGAGATACCTAAAATGTGAAAGCAGTTTTGAAATCGTGAATGGATAGAGGAGCGGCAGCAGCAGAGGACCAGCAGCAGCAGAGAATCTGCATCAGTAGAGAAGTGGCAACAGCAGAGAACCGGCAGCAGCAGAACCAGGAGACCAGTGCCAGGTGGCAATGGAGCCGACCCACGGAGCGAGGGAGCTGAGTGCCTGTGCACAGGAGGCTTCCTGGCGGAATGGAGCGCCTCTGGGCACTTACCGGTGGAACTACAGAGCTTTTGAACACTTGCCCCAGCTGGGCAGATGCGGGCGTGAGGCCCGAGAAGCCGAGAGGCTAAGAAACCAAGAAACAAGCTGAAGAGACATGGGATGCAAGAAGCAAGCTGCCTCAGTCTCAAAAGGTATGGCCATGACCTCAGGGGTTTCAAAGGGTGGAGCCATGGCCTCTGGTGCTTCTAAGGGTGGAGTCGCCACTCAGATGGACTGGGAGAATGGTGCACCCAAAGCCCAGGGAACAGAGTTACTGTTCAGTGGGCCTGGAAAGTGGGGCTGAAGCCCAGGGCCAAGGGGCCTCCACTCAGAATCTGGAGACTGTGGCCAATACCTAGAGTCTGGAGCGCAGGGCCATTGTGTAAATTGTCTCAGAGAACAGAGGATTATTTGCAAAGCCTTGAGGGCTAATGTAATGTGTTCTGCTGACTTGCTTGGTGCCTGTTATCCCTTCTTTTCCTCCAGTTTCTCCCATTTGTAATGGAAATATCTAGCGTGTGCCTGTTCTGCCATTGTACCTTTGGAAGCAGATAACTTGTATTCTAGATTTCACAGATGAAGAGGAAGTTTTGGATTTTGGACTTGGAGTTAAGACTTTTGCTATGATATGATGGTATGAATATGTTTTGCATGTTGCAAGGATGTGATTTTGGGGGGGCAAAGGGTGGAATGTCATGGATTGAATTTTGTCCCCCCAAAAATGTGTGTATCAGTTTGGCTGGGCCATGATTCTTGGTACTGTGTGATTTTCCTTTATACTGCAAATCCTGCCTCTATGATGTTAATGAGGGAGGATGGATGGCAGTTGTGTTAGTGAAGCAGGACTCAGTCTACAGAATTGGATTGTGTCCTAAGGCAATCTCTTAAGATATAAAACAGAGAAGTGAACAGAGAGACATGGGGACCTCATACCACCAAAAGAGCAGTGCCAGGAGCAGATCGTGTCCTTTGGACCGGGGGTCCCTGCACGGAGAAGCTCCTAGTCCAGGGGAACATTGATGAGAAGGCTGACAGAGCGAGAAATCCTTTCCCTGGAGCTGACACCCTGAATTTGGACTTTTAGCCTACTTTACTGTGAAGAAATAAATTTCTCCTTGTTAAAGCCATCCACTTGCGGTATTTCTGTTGTAGCGGCACTAGATGAGTAAGACATTATCCCTTCCTTAAACTCGACTCAATTATCCCATTTGACAATGCTATCTATTTACAGCTAGGACCCTAAATTGATTGTCCCATCAAAGCTCTTTCCATTAATCTTGCTCCACGCGCCATCTGCATTTTTTCCTTTATGTTAATCTGATCTGAGTTACAGGAGCCCTCGAGTAAACAGCCCAGGCAAAGAGGGACTGGGAAGACATCTCCCCTGGTCAACAAAAATACAATGGAGCACTCTCCAGGAAAAGAAAAAGATTCAAGCCCAAATCTTAATTATTATTTGGCACAAAACTAAACTGACAGCAAAGAAAACACTAAAAAAAATCTGTAATAAGTTAGTTTACCTGCATTGATTAGATCTGCATCAACTTCATTTTTTAATGGATATGGACCCTGTCAAACAAAGTGCACGTTCAATTAGTAAAAGAAATTTCTTGCTGAATCACGTACTAAAACTGTAATACAAATAGCTTCCACCCAAACCCTAAGAGATTACCATCAAAAGATTAAGGTGACCTTTTAAAAATAATTCCTATGTTTCAAGACTGTGTTTCTCATATTGATTAGTTTTTCTCCACACTAGTAATTGTGACTGGACAAATGAGAAAAGTATTTTCTAAATTTGAAAGAAATGTTATTAGAATTATAGTTCAATAAATCAAAATTTAATTACTTAGTACCTATTATGCAGCCAATGTTATTCAGAAACCTTTCTGGTAATATCAATGAGTACACACTAGTCATATTATTTTCACTAGAAGGAGTCACAGAGGTAAGGTTTCAGCTTTCTGATGTGCAGGACCTAAAGATCTGAATTTGGGGTTCTAACCTTACCTCTCGTTTCATCTAAATTTTTATATCCTTATTTTCCCTTTGCCTAGTTATTCTTGGTTACTTTTTTTTTTAGCTTTATAATTTATTTTATAAGACATCTTTAATTATTTGAATGGTACCAGTAGTTACATAGAATAACACATATTAAGAATAAAAAGAAAAAGTTACGAGGTGGAACCAAAAAATGAGGCTAGTATAGGAAATACGGGCTGTGAAATTTTTTATGTGCTTTCTAAAGAATTTATTCTATAAATAAATTGAATTGGCAACTAATGTTTTATTATTGTTGTTAGGTGATGTCAAGTCAATTCCGACTCATAGTGATTCTATGTACAACAGAACAAAACATTGTCTAGTCTGGCACTGCATCAGACAATGTTCCACTGATTTCTTAAGGTTTTCACTGGCCAATTTTTTTTAGTAGATCACCAGGTCCTTCCTCCTGGTCTGTCTTAGTCTGGAAGCTCCGCTGAAACCTGTCCACCATGGTTGACTCTGCTGGTATTTGAAATACCAGTGGCATAGGTTCCAGCATCACGGCAACACGCAAGCCACAATAGTATGACAAACTGACAGATGAGTGGTGGAATGTTTTAGATCTGTATAAATTTTCCTTTAAACATTGACCATGGGTAATTCTCATAAACTTATTTTCCTTGTCTGCAAAATGAAGGAGTTAGTCACATTAGATAACCTCTTCAAAAAAAAAAAGAAAAGTTGCCATCAAGTCGATTCTGACTTATAGCGACCCTATAGGACAGAGCAGAACTGCCCCACAGAGTTTCCAAGGAGCGGCTGGTGAATTTGAACTGCCAACCGTCTTGGTTAGCAGCCGAGCTCTTAAACACTGTGCCACCAGGGCTCCTACATAACCTCTAAGATACCTTACATCTGAGTCTTTGACTTCAACATGAATCTGATTTTTATCTAGACACATATCATTTTTGTTTTTGAAAATGTTTAATTTTGATTATTGCCTGAACCAATCGGCATCAACTATATGGCTATGATAATTTGTTCTATTTATATTTTAAATACTGGAAATGCATTTTTCAAGTGTACAACTGTTATTACATCAACAGTTAAGCTCTACTAAGAATAATAAAAGATTAGAATATTATAAACTGGCAAATCATAATCCCTACCAGTTAAAATTAAATAAAAAATGTCATTCAGGCAGCAGAAGTATTTCTAAATTTTATTATAATATTGAATAAAAGTATGCCCTAATATATAAGAACATTGAGTTCCTCAGGAAGGTTAATCTCGAGGAAGAGAAAATGCTACTCCTCTTGGGATAACACAGCCTCAAACTAAGAATTAAATGAAAAGAACGTCTAATACTTTTTGAATTGATCAACCATTAAAAAAAGTCCCTGGCCTAAAGCAGAAATCTTACTCTTCAGTTTCTCATTCACAGCCTCAGCGATTTTTATTATAGAAATGTTAGCAACATTCCTTATCTTGTCCAACCACAGAAGAGTTAGAAATAGTAAGCTGAAAAGCAAACTGTGAGGTCTCGCCAAAGCACGGACAACGAGAGGGGAGATGCTAGCTGACAGGCTGACAGATGGACCGGTGGGGGGGGGGGAGGACAAACGGGAAGTCAGAAAGCTCGTATAATCAGGAAATTACTGTCTAGGGCACAAAATACAAAACTAGACGTTCAGAATTACCACCCTTAAACAGAAAAAGTTAAATATTTTATTATGATGGTGAAAAGAGAGAAAAATAAGGTTGGAAACTTTAAGCTAACAACTGCCTTGGTGATCAAAAGATTTCACTGTATGAAATATCTCATTCTCCATTAACACTGAACAAATAAAAGTTTAATTTCCATCTTACCAAACCCAGGACTCCATTTTCACTTTGAAGATGAACAGTCATATTTGGACTGATAAAATTGCTGGCCAGGAGAGGGATTCCTATGCCCAAATTAGCTGGAAAAAAAGATGTTAAGGTCGAGAGTACAGAAAGCAGAGAAGTTGTGCCATAAACTTTCTACTTACATAAATCTGAACCGATGCCTTCTTTCAAGGGCAATTGCTCTGAATATAGTGACTAAATAAATTGTTCAGTCACTCTCTGGCCACTATTTTGTAATTTTTCAAAATGATTATCTCTAATTAGTCATATCTTTTTCAATGACATTGATAAGCTTTCCCCTAAAGATATCAAAACAGTGGCTTCAATAGGCTCCCAAAGAGGTCACTTTTGTTGTAAAACACATTTTATTTTCATTTGAATAAAATATCGATAGTGTGGACTCATGTATTATGACTGATAAACATGGTTTTGTCTTTGTTTAAAAACTATTCTTACTATTCAAAACTTCCACTAATGGAGATTTAATATTTAAAAACAGGCTTGTTGTTGTTAGGTGCCATCGAGTCAATTCTGATGCATGGCAACCCCATGTGTGCAGAGTAGAACTGCTCCATAGGGTTTTCAAAGCTGTGACCTTTCAGAAGCAGGTCACCAGGCCTGCACCTCCGGGTGGGTCTGAACCACCAACTTTCCAGCTAGTAGTGAAGTGCTTAACTGTTTGCACCACCCAGGCACTCCAAAAACAGGCTATTTTTAAATTTTTTTTAAAAAGTTTTATGACACCACCAAAATGACTGCCTAAAAGTGTACTTACTCCTTGGGGTCACTCAGGTGCCATTCTTTGGTAACTGAACTTTCTTGAAGACAGAAACAGGAAGTAAGGTTTATGTTTCAGCAAATACAATTGAGATCATATAAAACACAGCTTTATTAAGGTATCACAGGACTAACGGAAGGTGTTGAATCTTCTTTCCTATGATGTGAAAATAGAGTCAACCATACTTTGTCTGCATTGGTGTGGGTTCAATCCTGCTTCTCAACAGAGGCAGGTCAGCGAGATCCTCGTCTCACACTGTCTGTAACGGCTCTCCACCCGTCCGCTCCCACGGTGCACTTGAAACCTCACCAGAATTAGTGCAAAGAATGATGACACTTTGATGAGATTTCAGTAACAGTGAAATCATTACAAATCATGACCAGAAAAAAAAAAAAAAATCTATTTGCTGCCATATTATAAACGACAAAGAACACCTGGATAATAAAATGAGCCAGGTCACTTCTTGTGGGTACAGTAAGTCTATGAGACTATGAGAATAGTTAGTTGGCTCACCTTTATCAAATCACAATCTAGTGCACCATTATTTGTACTTGATTTCTCATAGTGATGCACAGAACACATTGAGATATTAATTCCATTATGAGCAGGGATTTTCAGTTAAGAGCAACCCAAATTATAAGCCTTATACCTCAATTCTTTCATCATATTCTATAATTTTCTAAGTTCTTTAATACTTTTTAGTAAGTCAAACACCAGGGAGAGAAAAGTATAAACTTTGGGTTGAAAAGAGTAGATCATATGGAAACATCATTTGCAAGAATTGTCTTGCAACTATTTTCCACAGGCAATAGACAATCAGTGAATAAAGAACACCTGTTGTTGACGTTGCATGCCATGAGTCGATTTTGACTCAACTGCCCCATTAAGGTTTCCTAAGCTGAAATCTTTACGGGAGCAGATCACCAGGTCTTTTCTCCTGTAGAGCTGCTGGTGGTTTCGAACCACTGATCTTTGGATTAGCAGGAGAGCACCATTATTATAAGATTGAGTTATACATTCAGTGTGTAATTATCAAAGGCAAGCCAACTGTCTGGGTTTGAGAAGAAACCACAGTGATTAGCTTTCACCTGCTAAGTCAATTTAGTTGATTTCGTATCTTGCTAATAGAAGAGTTGGAAAGGGAAGCAATTTTATATTCTCTTCCCCTATGAGTTCCCAAAGTAACACAAGGTATACACTGAAAAACAAAGAAAAATGAGACTGTTGTTGTAGTTGTTAGGTGTCACTGAGTCATCTACAGGACACAGTAGAACTGCTCCCCCATAGGGTTTTCTAGGCTATAAATCTTTATGGAAGCAGACTGTGACGTCTCTCCTCTGCAGAGTGGCTGTTGTGTTCAAACCGCTGATCTTTCAGTTAGCAGTTGAGCACTTAACCACTGCACCACCAGGGCTCCTTGAAACAAAATGAGGTAGTGGAGGTAAAAAGAAAGGAAGAAAGGTGAACACTCCCAGTCAAGATCACAGTCTGAAAGATGATATTCATGGACCAGGGGAAGCTTACAGAATGGAGACATTTGTCACATTTCTAGTTCCTTCTGTCCTGGTTCTTTAAATACACTTTCACTGTATTCACCATTCAAAAATAATTTATCTTATCATATATTACTTGTATTTTATAGTTTTATGCTCGATATAGTGAGAATTCACAAAATGGCAGACTCACTGGTATTTAAACACATTCAAAATCCAAATACTAACTATACTGAATTATCTCTACCCTCTTTTTTTTTAAAGTAGTTAAAGCAGAATTTGAATCGTACACTGAGTATCTTGTAAAACATTAGACATAAAAGGGTGCACTCACTCATGGAATCTTTGCCAAGCAAAATAAGCGGATTGTTAAGAAATCAGATCTTATGTTTCGTATGCAAATGTAAGAAGTTAGAGAAGGTAAACAGTACTGGTTACAACTAGCACTTCTGAGATTTGAAACCCTTATCTAGGGTCATCTCTTTTCTCAATAGTCTCTAGCCAAATATCAAGTTGTACTGAAACGCACTGTATACAAACATACCTCGGAGGTACTGAGGGTCTGGTTCCAGACCACCACAATAAAGTGAATACCGCAATAAAGCAAGTCACACTAATTTTTTGGCTTCTCAGTGCATATAAAAATTATGTTTACACTATACTGTAGTCTATAAAGTGTGCAATAGCATTGTCTAAAAAAAAAACAACACATATACCTAAATTAAAAAATATTTTATTGCTAAAAAAAATGCTAACCATCATCTGAACCTTCAGTGAGTCTTAATCTTTTCGCTGCTGGAGGGTCTTGCCTCAATGTTGATGCATGCTGACTAATTACGATGGTGGCTGCTGCAGGGTTGGGTGGCTGTGCCAATTTCTTAAAATAAGGCAGCAATAAAGTTTACTGCATTGATTGACTCTTCCTTTCACAAAAGATTTCCCTGTGGCATGTGATACTGTTTGATAGCGTTTTACCCGCAGTAGAACTTCTTTCAAAATTGGAGGTCAATCCTCTCAAACCCTGCCACTGCTTAATCAACTAAGTTTATGTAATATTCTAAACCCTTTGTTGTCACTTCAACAATGTTCACAGCATCTTCATCAGGAGTAGATTCCATCTCAAAAAACCACTTTCTTTGCTCATCCATAAGAAGCAACTCCTCATCCATTAAAGTTTTATCATGAGATTGCAGCAATTCAGTCACATCTTCAGGATCTACTTTTAATTCTAGTTTTCTTGTCACTTCCACCACGCCTACAGCTATTTCCTCCACTGAAGTCTTGAACCCCTCAAAGTCATTCATGAGGGTTGGAATCGACTTCTTCCAAACTCCTGTTAATGTTGATATTTTTAACTCCCTCCATGAATCACGAATGTTCTTAATGGCATCTAGAATGGTGAATCCTTTCCAGAAAGTTTTCAATTTACTTTGCCCAGATCCATCAGAGGAATCACTATCTATGACAGCTATAGCCTTATAAAATGTATTTCTTAAATGATAAGACTTGGAAGTCAAAATTAGTCCTTGATCCATGGTCTGCAGAATGGATGTTCTGTTAGCAGGCATGAAAACAACATTAATCTCCTTGTACATTTCCATTAGAGCTCTTGGGTGACCAGGTGCATTGTCAATAAGCAGTAATATTTAAAAAGGAATCCTTTTTTTTCTGAGCAGTAGGTCTTAACAGTGGGCTTAAAAATTCATCAAACCATGTAGTAAACAGATGTGCTGTCATCCAGGCTTTGTTGTTTCGCTTATAGAACACGGTCAGAGTAGATTTAGCATAATTCTTAAGGGCCCCAGGATTTTAAAAATGGTAAATGAGCTCTGGCTTCAACTTAAAGTCACCAGCTGCATCAGCCCCTAACAGAGTCGGCCTGTCCTCTAAAGCTTTGAAGCCAGGCATTGACTTCTCCTCTTTAGCTATGAAAGTCCTAGAAAGTCCTAGATGGCATCTTCTTCCAATATAAGGATGTTTCATCTATTGTTTAATGTAGTCACCTTCATCACTTATTTTAGCTAGATCTTCTAGATAACTTGCTGCACCTTCTATATCAGCACTTGCTGCCTCACCTTGCACTTCTATGTTATGGAGATGGCGTCTTTCCTTAAACCTCATGAATCAACCTCCATTAGCTGCAAACTTTTCTTCTGCAGCTTCCTTACCTCTCTCAGCCTTCACAGAATTGAAGAGAGTTAGTTAGGGCCTTGCTCTGGATTAGGCTTTGGCTTAAGGGAATGTTGTAGCTGGTTTGATCTTCTTTCCAGGCCACTAAAACTTTCTTCGTATCAGCAACAAGGCTGTTTCACTTTCTTATCATTTGTGTGTTCACTGGAGTAGCACTTGTAATTTCCTTCAAGAACTTTTCTTTTGCATTCACAACTTGGCTGTTTGGCACACGAGGCCTAGCTTTTGGCCTGTCTTGGCTTTCAACACGTCTTCCTTACTAAGCTTAATCATTTCTAGCTTTTGATTTAAAGTGACAGATGTGTGACTCTTCCTTTCACTCGAACACTCAGAGGCCACTGTAGGGTTATTAACGGGCCTAAGTTCAATATTGTTGTGTCTCAGGAATAGGGAGGCCCAAGGAGATGGAGAGAGACAGGGGCATGGCTGGTCAGCGGAGCAGTCAGAACACACACAACAATTTACTGGTTAAGTTCTTCTATGGGTGCGGTTCGTCGTGCCCCAAAACAATTACAATAGTACATAAAGGATCACTGATCATAGATCACCATAACAGATACAATAATAATGAAAAAGTTTGGTATATTACTAGAATTTTCAAAATGTGACACAGAGACATGAAGTGAGCACGTGCTGTTGGAAAACAGCACCAATAGACTTGCTCGAGGCAGGGTTGCCTCAAATCCTCAATTTGTAAAAAACGCAGTATCTGCAAAGTGCAATAAAGTGAAGCACAACAAAACAAGGTATGCCTGTGTTAAAAAATAGCTAAGCAAAGTATTGCTTGCCATTTTGTTTCAAGAAGGCAAAAAGATTACAATTCCAATCTGATATATATTGATATCTTTGGGTTTTATACCACATTTTATAAAAATTGATCAGTTGCTTTAAAAGTTTACCATGGAACAAATACAGATGAACCACTATGCAGGAGGCCTAGTACCCTGATCAATTTGGTAAAAGTGAAAGCTATGTCTTTTCCCATTCCCAGAGAACAAAGGATACCATACATGCCGTCTTCAAATTCAAGAGCTGCCCGCTTGATGATACGTTCCCTCACGCTATCTCCAGGCTTAACAGATTTGGCTTTTCCATCTTCCTCTTTCCGGATTGATAGACGCTTTAAAATAAACAGAAATAAGTTCTTCATGGTTGAAGATAAGCCATGTATTTTATCACCGCTAAAATATAAAATTTTACTGGACAAAAATTTAACTGTCCCTCATTACTACAGTAAGGCAAATCTGCAATATTCAAAAAAAGAATAACTTGGGTGACATTTGGTGACAAATCATTCTTTGGGAATTGAACGACATAGGTCAGATTTGTTTGAAGAAGAAGATAGACCCATTCTGTCTCTTTGAAGCAAATAATCCCCCTATCACTATCGCACTGATTGCTACTGCTGTTATTCTTAAGACTCCTGAAACTGAATTCTCCACAGGTGATCAGGGATTGAGCCAGAACAAAGAAAAAGGATAAGACCTTGGAAATCTGTTTTTGCAGGGCTGTCAGAATGTGTTCACCAGGTGTTGTTGCTGCCAATTTCCTATTTCCACCTGTGGAGTCTAGACTGGTTTTACTACAACTGCATCACAGGTATCGATCATAGAAATATCCAGAAATAGGCAAGAAACTATTTCCATTATAAAATGACTCTGACATGGACTCCTGTTCCTGTTTGCAAATGCTCCATCCTTTCTCCCTAGCCCCCTGACACTAGTTTTGGATTGCAGAATGTCCTTCTGTTTGATGTCCACAGGGTGGTAGGTATCTCTGATTCCCTAATATCCCCTGCTACTTACTGCATGTCTATTATACTGCTAATCCTGAGGCACTTCTGAACTTTGATATCAATTCTGGCCCAGGTAGCCATTCTTTATGCTCTCAGTGTCCTTGGATTACCTCCAATGCTCTTGATACCACTCCTTGCCATGATCTCTACCCACCAGCTGCCCCAGCCTAATGGAAAATGATGTTCTTTCTGCTCTATATGGAAGTGCAAAGCAACTTCAAGACAGATAGACATTTATGAACAATGAAACGTTAAATGTCCAGCAGGGGTGAAGCCACCAAAGACCTTATTATCTTTCTCTACTCTGGGGCAAGCAGCCATAACCATGCATCTAAGTTAGGACAGTTACAGAACCCTGTAGGGAACAGTCTAGGGAACCACATGACTTGGTGATATATACCTTGGGAACACAAGTGACTCTCAGGCTGGACAATAACACG